TTTTCAAGAGGTAGAAACCCCACAAAGCAACTGGGCCGGACTCTGTCTCCCCATCCACCCTGAAGCACTGTGCTGATCAGCTGTCTCCGGTGTTCACAGACATTTTTAACACCTCACTGGAGACATGCCATGTGCCAGCCTGCTTCAAAGCCTCCACTATCATCCCTGTCCCCAAGAAACCAAGAACCACTGGACTAAACGACTACAGACCCGTAGCCCTGACCTCTGTGGTTATGAAGTCCTGTGAACGCCTTGTGTTGTCCCACCTAAAATCCACTGCAGACCCTCTCCTGGACCCCCTGCAGGTCTGTAGATGATGAGGTAAACATGGCCCTTCACTACATCCTCCAGCACCTGGACTCCCCAGGAACCTACGCCAGGATCCTGTTTGTGGATTTCAGCTCTGCTTTTAACACCATCATCACAGCCCTGCTGCAGGACAAGCTCTCTCAGCTGAACGTGCCTGACTCCACCTGCAGGTGGATCACTGACTTCCTGACGGACAGTAAGCAGCACGTGAAGCTGGGAAAACATGTCTCTGACTCCAGGACCATCAGCACCGGTTTCCCTCAAGGCTGCGTTCTTTCCTCCCTTCTCCTTCTCTGAGGACCATCAGGACCAAAACCTCTCGCCACAAAAACAGTTTCTTCCCGTCTGCAACTAGCCTCGTTAAAGTCCCGGGTCCCCTACTGACACTCCCCCCTTGCAAATGATACAATGTCTCTGCACATGTAAATACGGTTTCATCTCGTGTCGGGCACAGACCTGGCACGTCGCACATATTTATTGTTGATTGTTGATCTTTTTTGTTATATTTTTATGTTGTCAGTTTATATATTTATATGTACAAAATATTCTCTTCTGTTGCATTACTTCAGCATGGCACAGACCCAGAATAATGCACATGTATATATTTGCAATGTTGTTCTTCCATTCCATATTTGTATATTTCTACATTTATTTATATTGACTGAATGTTTGTCTACGTGTAGCACCTTATCACCACAGCAAATTCCTCGTATGTGTAAAACACTACTTGGCAATAAAGCTCCTTCTGATTCTTCTGATTCTATTGAGCAGATGAATCCTTTGGTATATTGGATACGTCTACTACGTGTCAGCGGTCAGACAATGATAGACTTGTTTGTTCCAAAGCAACACTTTTCCTCTGCTGCAGTTTCTGGTGAAAACTAAATTTAAGAGCACAGAGGGATTGCGCAATACCAAGATGGCAGCCTGGAGATACTTTTATACACAAAACCAGCTGTTTTTAGACTGCAAACAGCGAAACGGCAAAAGTCAGCTGTTGTAACTGTATATTTATATTGGTGCATTTGTTTTTATTTTTATCCAGCTAATAGGTATGTAAGTTTGGTGATTTGAGTGATATAAGTTACATAGCTGATCTTAGCTGGGGCTAAGTTTTGTTTAAAGTGGTCAGAGGTGTAGGGTGAGATGAGAGATATTCGGATAGCAATAACTGCAAGCATGTACAGTGTTCACAGAGCGATTTATGTTAGGTAAGCTCATTTAGATGCTTGGTGTTTGATGTGTGTGTTTTGTATGGATAAAAATGGTTTGAAATTCTAGCTGAATCTCCTAGCATCACGGAGGTGTGTGGCATGGATAAGGTGACGAAATACTAGGATCAGACATGGATTTGCCATTTGAATTTGGCGCGAAAATCAATCATTGTCCCAAGTATCAAGAGAAATACCATTGAAACTCTTCAACTGGACTTGTGAAGAAAGTTTTTGCACTAATAATTTCTAAATTTGAAATATTAAATTGGCAATGTACTGGTAAATTGTGTGTTGGATTGGATTATTGCAAATCAAGCAAATGTGCCATTTATATATGTTACAGCTTCACAGTAAAGGGATGTAAATTATCATAGCCAGGTCGGTGATGTCCCATCCGACATCAGTATCTCTAGAATGCTGTATGCTAGGGACTTACTTTTTCTTTTGACCAGAAGGTTGCGCCGTTTGGTGGTCCGGTGCGACTGTATCACTCTCAGAAGCATTGCACCTTGAAGTGCAGTGTCTTTTTGGAGACTTTCTAAAATTAATCCATAAAGATGCATCCCCCACCAAACGTCTTCTGTGACTATTTATCCATCTTTCCTCAGTGAACATTGTTATTGTTGTAATTTTTTAAAATTATATATATATTTGTCCATAAATATGTGTATTAGGGCTGGGCATGTTAACGCGTTAATCATGAAATACATTAATTAATTAACACCTAAAATTATTTAATCGCACGTTAATGCAGTTTTAAAAAAAATTATTAGAATTTTTAAAGTCCATTGCTCACTGGCTCTGAATACACAGACAGTCAAACCATGGGTCACAGGAGGGATGTTGATCAGCCTGCAAATCACCCACCCAGACAAGCAGTGGAGGGAGGCTTCGGCAGACTGTGCTGTCATTTTTCCCTTATATTTCCACCCGCGACCGGTTATCCTTGTTAATGACGCAGCCTATCAAACCAATATCTGCACCCTGTGTGTTCAATGCAGCTTTCACATTACCTGGTCCGTGCTTTTTTTTTTTAAATTTTTTTTATTGATGCATAGTTCAATACAGTAACAAAAATGCAAAATACGTAGATATTCAGTTACATTTTACATTGCCAGAAGCTCAAATAAAATTCAGTTCTTCTATAATATTAAGACATTTTATAGTTTTTTTTTTTTTTTAAGAGTTGCAGAGTTGGTATTGAGGTGCAGTATTGTTTCAGTTTAACTGTAAATCCATTGATTCAGGGTTTGGATCCAGTCCATTTTGATTTGTGGATGTGGAATTTTCCAAGTGTGATGAGGAGCGGCACAATATAGTTAAAATTGTCAGGGCCATGAAGTACAAAATATAACATGACATCAAATACATTAATTAGTATGCTCATTTTCTGTTTATAAAATGTTCACAGTGGTAAAAAAGATTAAATATAGTTTATCTTTCTAAATTGCAAAAATCACAGTTATAATCAATGTTAAGTTTAAATCTTTGCAACACTATTGAAATATCTCTCATTAACCATGAGTCCAGATTTTATTTTATTTATTTCAATAATGGGGTCAAAATTGGTTTTATATTTGCTCTATACTTTTACAGATATTAATGCCCAGGTAGGTTACCTTTTCTTTAACTGGGATTCCTAACAATCCGATAAATTACAGCTTTTAATTGGAAACAAAACCAAAAAAAACAAACTAGAAATCTAGATTCAAACCTGAGACTTTAGTAAATTCATCAATCCAGATTACTGCTTTAGTGACTTGGTTGTGGTTTTTCAAAAAAATTGCAGTATCATCCGGTAATTGACAAATTTTAAAATCACTTTCTACAGCCCTTATTCCTAAGAAATCTGATTTTTTGACATGAGTAGACATTATTTGGGTGACTAACAGGAACAAAAAGGAAGATATTAGACAGCCTTGTCTAATACCATGGTGAATATTAAATCTTTCTGATGTACCATACATTAATTTTACAGAGCTTGAATACCATTATACAGTGTCTGAATAGAATAGAATGAAAAGCCAAAAAAAGAGATGGCTTTAAGAAGAAATTCATGTTCAATGGTATCAAAAGCCAAAAGTTAATAAACAAAATAAAACTTTCATCCAATTTTAAGTCCTTATAATCTATCATATCCAGTATTCATCTGTTGAACATGCGTGAGTTTCCTGAAGAAAGTGTCTTTTAAGCCCCTGGCATTTACAGAATAGCTTGAAAACAGTAGAAATGAAAACAGTAGAAATAGAAATAAATGTCCAAATATAGGTTGGATAAACTTGACCTTATTAATAGGCTATAGGAACCTTGCTTTGTATATAACTTTAATAAATGCACAGCTTATTTAGATTTGTCAGCCCTTGCTGCAACTTAGTGGACAGCCGCATTTTAAACACATAACAAAGTGAATAGCGGCAATTTAAACAATAACTAAAACAAAGTTAGTCATAAACTTCAAAAGTTCGACCACATTCTCCACCTTCACACTGATCCACTTCACATCTTCACCTCTTTACCATCTGTGTATGCTCTGGCCCCTCTGAAGTATGCCGGCTTCCTCTCCTTTCGCACCTTCTCCACCACCTGCTACAGGAGATTCCTCATTGCTCTGTCGGTAGTGCTGAGATCTTCTCTGAAGTAGTATCAATGATTTTGAAGAAAGTCGTTCTGAAGACGTACCTGATGATAATCAGCCATGGTTTTACGTTCTTGTCTTCTCCTGCCTTAAGGTGACCAGCGACATTCACTGCTGCTGCCACCTCATCTTTCTCTGCTCCAGGAATCATCACCTTGCAGATCTCTTTGACTGTTGCTTTAACATTCTCTGTTTGATTTTCAGCTATCCCAAGTAAGCACTGACACCACCGTTGACTGTATCGTTCTTGTTTGTTAATTCTTTCTTCCTGACCCGCCATCTTTTATTTTAATTCTGCGTTTTTTAAGGGTTTTAACTTGCTAAAAGATTCATGCAAATTTTTAAATTGACTTTAAAATTTTATAAATGTATAATCAGTGCACACAAAGAAATCTTTTTATAAACGTTTCAATAATATTACAGTGAGGAAAAACACAACCATCATTACTTAAATTTCATGTATATATATATATATTATATGCCATTTATACAGAAAAAGCCTTCTGTAGGAATTTAAAAAAGTCCAAAATGCAAAAGTTGGGTTTCCAGCTATAAAAAATATAAAAAATATATGGATAGTTTCAGGTACTTTGTCTTATGTAAATTATTTTGAATAAGTGTGTTACAGTCATACAATGATGTATCAATGGTATAAGACAAAATATGAAAAGTTAGAGGTGCTAAACCACCCTCAAAATTACATTCACAGATATGTTTTGTACTGTTCCTACATGGTATAGCTTCACAGTAAAGGGATGATAATTAAGTCTAGAAGCCTGAAGAATGATTTAGGGAGAAAGGCATATGACACAAGTTAAGAAGAGATCATTAATAAATGCACGACATCAACTTTATTAAGTAGACAATTACAGAAAGCCACGGATTACAGCTATAGTCTGTCATTTTGTTGTACTGTAGACTACCTATCATAGACAAAAAAAAAAAGATTTGGAACTCAAAAAACACTACAAATAAATATTTTACAGTGGACATGCCTGTTAAAGTAAGATAACTGAACACCAAAGAATCAGCGGTGACACAGAAAGAGGTGACCTGAATTTATAAAAACGGACGAGTCAAAGGTGAAGGATGAGATCATCATCATCCTTTTTTTAGGTTAGTTGTAGTAACTAAAAACCCTTGAAAATCACATCTTTGCTAACCTTCAATGTTTCCACTGAAACATTCAACCATAGAGAGTGGTTAAACAGTGCTTTACAGCCTGGTGTTAAGTTACTTTTAAAATGCGCAATATAGCCTACTGCATGTAATTTTTCAAAGGGCATCTTGTCCATTGGCTTCATCATTCACTTCGTTTCTCTTCTGTTTTCTGGGTTGAATCTTCCACTGCAGGTTGAAGTCAGTCAGCGAAGCCTTGTTTGTCAGCACTGCACCTAGCTGAGAGGGAGTAATAGTATTATCAGAAGACCATTGTCAAAACATGACACTGCCATTTTGGGAATGTAGCATCTGACACACACTGCATACTTAACATCATCCATTTCCAGTGGTATGTTTGAACACATTCCTTATGTGAGAGTTATCAGAGTAAACAGTCAAAGCTGTTTTGATCTGTCAGGCACAAGATCATCTGATTTATCAATTTATCTGATTTCATACAGCCAGACTTAAGTCGCACACACAGTGACTTCAGACTCGACTTGAGACTTATCCTCGAAAGACTTCAGACTCGACTCAGAGTCGAGGTGCGGGACTCGTGAACAACGTTTATTTTTAGGAAATGTCTGATGAGCTTGCTGTTATTCCTCTCCCTCCGTTACCTATAAACTGCCTACGTAACACATAGTATCTGCGCGCGGCCACACGTGAGAGAGGACAACAAACACCGGCAGCTGCTGTGTCATTCATCATAAACTTTGGCTTTAAATTTTCATACAACAAGACCCAAACAAAGAAGCGCTGAATGTAAAATAGGTTATTATTAGGTTATTAACCTGAGAATAAGCTATATCTATCTAACGTTAGCTTGCTTCTTGCTTTAGCTACGACCTACCGGAGGTTGTCCGAAAGATGAATGAGCGTTTATTTACTTGCAATGCTTGTGGTGGTCGATTAACGTAATCATTTATGTCCCATTGGCTGCCATCACGTTAATTATTAACATTGGCGCAAATAGGTTACAGGTTTATTGTTGATCTTATAACATTACAGTTTTAATTAGCTATAATGTTACACTGGTTTGAAAGCCTGGGGTTTGTGTTGACTTACAGTAGTTTATAAGCTGTCATTAGTTGGAGACGCATTGCACATTCGCTACATGGTTGTGCTCTGTAAAAAAACAGGTTTATTGTTGATCATGTAATGTTAGTTAATGTGATACTGGGTTTGAGAGTCTGCGGGGTGTGTTGACTTACAGTTGGCTAGTTAATAAGCTGTGCACATTGCACATAACATGGTTGTGCTCTGTAAGTGAAAAACAGGTTACAATTACAGAATTTCTTATAGCTATGCAGTTTTATAAGCAGCCTGGATTGAACGCAGAGGTGATACAACACTCATTATAACCACGAGAGACTTGAGACTACTACTTGGACTCTTGCTCAGTGACTTGAGACTTGACTTGGACTCTAGCTCAAGGACCTACATATAGCTAATTTTGGAGCCACAAAGACTATACAACTACAACATCTGCAGCAGTGTCTGCCAAGACCTGGAAACACACATTGATGTGTAAAATCGATAAAGAGCAAGAACTGAGAGAGAGATAACATTGGAGTTTCACCTGTTGAAGGATCTCGCCGTTAGTAGCTGGATCTGAAAGGTCAGCATCAGTCTGAATCTTAATCCTCATCACGGCTATCTTAACTTTCAGGGCTGGACAGTCCAACAAACACATGCCCAAAAACCAAGGAAGGAAATATTATTGTATTGAAGAAAACATTTAGTATTTAGTAACAAGTATTTATGAGATCTCTATATATTTTTTTACCTCCTTGACAGAAGAATGAAAGCTCACTGTCACAGCTCACATCATCCCAATAGTGTTCTGACGTCTCAGCCACACAGTATTGTTTACCATCAGGCTGTCCGCTTCCCCAGTTTGTGAAGGTGCTACTACTCGTGTCGGACCACGTCCACGGTACTTGGTACAAGCCAATCCACCCAGAGCCCGCAGAATAAGCTAACATGATTGACAACACGTGTCCGTTTTCCTGAGCATTCTCGATCATGGCCAGATCGGTGTAGTATGTTCTGCAAATATCCCGGGCTTTCTCCCATGTCAGTGAATATAAATATAAAAGATCATTTTTCTGGGCTGGAGGATTTGCAGCTACAATAGAAAATAGAGTAAAGCTATATTGAAGATGGTAGTGTTTGTAAACATACAACAAATATATGGTAAACATATACTTGCTCAGAACGTATGACAACGTATGAAATGAAAAGTATTAGTTACAGTTCTGAATGGGTTCATTGAAAGATGGGGTGAAAAGTCAGCTGTCGTTGAGGGGCTTTCATTAAATTTTATACACAGCTTCATGTGCTAATTTATTAATATAGTTTTACAAGGGTTCTGACCAAACCCAAACTAACTGGAAACTTTAAATCAGAGAGGGCCGTTATATACTGCTTTTCAGCCTAGTTTTAAGTTACTCTTTAAATAAAGAAATGAAATGCAATTTGTCTTACCGTCGTAACAAAAAAACCCAGATGGGACTTATGGGATTTAACGCTCCATGTTCCATCATTGTTCATTATCACACAGGCTCTGAGATGAACTCCTGGCTGACCTGGTTGCCAGTTATAGTAACCAGTTTTGCTTGTATCACCAGTCCCTGACCATCTCCAGGAGTTTGTGTCATTGCCTATAATTCCCTTCCAGGATTCTGGGTCAACCCTCAGTCCAATCCATAACCATGAGGTATCTGAACTGGGTCTGTTTAGCCTGCTCATGTCATCCATGCTTTCAATAGTCGCCAGGTCGGTGTGTTTCACTCTGCAGTAATGCTGAGCGTCGGTCCAGTTCATTATCAAGTTGACATAGTGGTACTCACGAAGGATGGCGTGAGAGCAGGAATTGAGGCCAAAAACTGAGGGTTAATGATAGAAAATTAAGTTTTACAATTGAATATTTATAATCTTTAGAAGACATATTAGAGGGAGAATATTGCTAAAGAGATATCAGAGGGATATTTGAGGGTAAAAGAAAAAGAAAATAATAACCAATAGATTTATTGAATATCAGACCATATCAGTGTTTGTAATGTTTTAGCCCATTTTCTATAAATCGCATATATTTGAAATTATTGTTGTGTTCAGTTTTGGATTTATATAATCATCAGTATGAAATTAACCAACTGTCAAAAAGATGAGTAAGACAAGCATTCATGTGTTCATCATTGCAATGTCTTGTTCTACTTTTACCACATACATGGTTGCATACCTCAGAGGTAACTTTTGTTCCAGTCAAATCTTTATGAGTATGATAATGGTAAGTTAGAAATATTCAAAACGGAAGAACGAAAGAAAGATGATAGCCAGTTAAGGGTTTCTGTATGTCTTGTGTAATTAATATTTATTTTCCATCTGCACAAAATGCTGAACAATGATGGTCAAAGTTCCTGCGACTTCAGTTGTCCTTCTGTAAATTGTCTCTCTCTTACAGACCTGTATTTAGCAGCTTTATGATTTAGTGGAAGATTAACTGTTTTGTGTCGCATATAAACAGGAAAGTAAATGTCACTGTTTGCTTTCAGTCCCTCTTCAGCAACACGCTTTCATCCTCAGCCCTCTGCAATACTCTATCTTTCCTGTCTTTAAGGCCAAATTCTTTCCTTCAGCCCTAACAAAACAAACCAAAATGTTTATTTAAACAGAAACAATGGTACCTTGAACACCCTGTTCAAGTGTACTGCACTGATGTACCTCTGACACACCCACTAAACCAGAGAAAACATGTCTCGAAGCCTGTTTCGCATTGTTGCACACCGTTTTGAGGAAACATGTTGTTCAGCAAGGAAACCGTAGAAAACTGGTTCAAAATGTTGTAAGATTGAACTCACCCCTGTTCCCACTTCTCATCAGCCTTGCAGTTACCTAGCATCAGCCACTTTCCATATTCACCACTTCACTTAATTGCCAGTTGATGCCTAGTTTCCATGTGCCTAGATGTCTTTATGGCTTTTGCCTTTCCCTGCCTTGTTACTTGTCCACCTGCCTGAAGCTTATTTATGCACAATTAATCACTGAACAGCACCAGTCTGCTTGTTATGTCTATGTTTGGGTCCAGTGCCAGAATAACCCACCTTGACACCAAAAACCATGAAATTAGTAAGTATGTTGTAACTCTTACCAAAGAAGACATGAATTAAAAGCAATGCATAATCCATTTCTGATGTCACTGAAAAACATGAGAAAAAAATTGGAAAAATACTAACAACATGATTTACAAGAATAGCAGACATTAAAAGAAAATATCCACCTTACATACAAGATTACGTTACATTTTCATTAAGCTGAACCATGGTTTTAAGACTTAGATTGGACCAATATTTATAAAAAAGTTGCTATTTATATATCATATAAATAGTGAATAATAAATGTAAAAGTGTGTGTGGGTTTTTTGAAAATAACTTTTTGAAGAGTATAGTACTAAAGGTAAAAAGGTACATTTAATAATATATAAGAAGAAGAATGTTAATAGAAGATGTACTCACATGTATAAAATCCAGCAAATCAACCCAACTTAGAATTGCTCATATCTGCAAGGAAATGTCTGCTCAACTCAAGAAGTATCCAGTGCTTTGCTGCATTATAACATGTTCAAATTTAAATATTCAAATAAGCAAGCTGAAAAAGTGAACCTTGGTTTGCTTTACATAACCACAATGTTTGGTCAGAGTTTTTTCATAATCTGAGGTCTACACAAACTGTGAAAAACTTTACATGGTGTGTTCAACAAAAACATAAAAACAAGTAATTGTGTGTGTGGTATTAGTTTAAGCAGACTGTTTACTTATTGTTGTGACTTGGTGTGTGTGTGTGTGTGTGTGTGTGCGCGTACCACTTTATTAGGTACACTGCTGGTACCGGGTTGGACCCCTTTTTGCCTTCAGAACTGCCTTAATTCATTGTGGCATACTTTCCACAAGGTGTTGGAAACCTCCTTCCTCAGAAAATGGGTACACCATGGTCAGAAAGGGATGGACATGGTCAGCAACAATACTCAGGTAGGCTGTTGCGGTTAAACGATGCTCAATTGGTACTAAGGGGCCAAAGTGTCACTGGTGGTGGTGTAATGGTGACCCGCCTGAACCGTTGAGTCAAGGCAGGATGGATCCATGCTTTCATGTTGTTTACGCCAAATTTTGACCCCACCGTCTGAATGTCGCAGCTGTAGCCCATTGTCTTCAAGGTTTGACATGTTGTTGGTTCAGAGATAGTGTTCTGCATACCTTGGTTGTAACAAGTGATGATACAAGTTACTGTTACCTTTCTGTCATCTCGAACCAGTCAGCACATTCTCCTCTGACCTCAACACATCAACAAGGTGTTTTTGACCACACAACTTCTGCTTACTGGATATTTTCTCTTTTTCGAACCATTCTCTGTAATAAACCCAGAGTTGGTTGTACATGAAAATCACAGTAGATCAGCAGTTTCTGAAATACTCAGACCAACCCGTCTGTCACCAACAACTATGCCACTTTCAAAGTCACTAAAATCCCCTTTCTTCCCCATTCTCATGCTCGATTTGAACTTCAGCAGGTTGCTTGACCATGTCTATATGCCTAAATGCATTGAGTTGCTGCCATGTGATTAGTTATTTGTGTTAACAAGCAATTGAACAGGTGTACCTAATAAAGTGGACGGTAAGTGCATGTTGCGTATGTTATTAAAGGTACCCAACACATTGTAGGTATCAGGGTTTTTTGCTACTAGTGGTTAAAAACTCTGCAGGGGATTTCTAAATTGGATAATTTCTTCAAGTAAATTGTTCTTGAACCAGTTCACCAAAAAAAACAATCAGATGAGTTTCAAACTGCAGGTCATTTGCATTCAAAGCTTTCCAGATGATTCATTCAAATGTAACCGACCAGATAAGACTCAGGTCTGATGATGTAAATGTGGTAATCAAAGACAAAAGCCCTGGTTTACATGACTTTTTGCCCTGAGTATTATAACATCCAGGTATTAATAATGTTTGATTTAACACTGACGCCAGGTCAGTTGCAGCTTGTAGTTTGACATCTTGGGATTTGCACTTATTCGCTTTTGGGATATATGCTTATTCACTTTCTTACCAAGGGTTGGATGAGAAGGTTGATTGACTGATTGTTACCACTCTCATGTCTCAGTGTCAAATATCTTAAGTTAAAAAATCTTACTCTAAATCTCACTAATTAACATGTTTAGCCAGGCTAGTTGTTTCCCCCTGCTTGAAGTCTTTATGGTAACTAAGCTAAATGGCTGCCTTTGCCGTCATATTTAGCTTACAGAAATATGGTATCATGATAAGCAAGAAAGATGACTGATTATTTCCTGAAATGTTAAACTTTTCCTTAAAACATGGGGGAAGAAAGAATTTGGCAGAAAAGTGGTAAGTCTCTTTTGAGGTTTATTACGGCTCTTAACATTTTTTTTTTTCAATATCAAAAAACACATGATCAAAGCCAGGTGGATTTTGAGGAAAAGCATTTACTTTCTAGAATCCCCAATTGAGAATATTTCTTTTCTGGTCCTATTTTAGGATATTTGGATCTGAAAATTTTTTGGGTCAGACAGTGCTGGTAACATTAAGGTTTGGAGATCTATATGATATCATATCACATATATGTACATAAAAAAAAAAGGTCCAACAAATATTTTTTACTTGTATAATATACAAGTGGTCACCTTTAAATTTTAATTATATTTGAATTATAATTAAAGTCCAACTTTTGTTCGGATTTTTATAAAGAAAAAGGTTGGGCTTTTTGGCAGCAAGGGTGTTTCACAATTTTCTCATCTAATCGGTCCCATCATTAAACTGTACTGATTTGCATTATCTTATATAATAGCCTCAAACACAATAGTAGTAGTCAAACACTGAAGAGAACATAAAGCGTTTGGTAAGTTGAACACGTAGCTTCATATTTATTGGATAGTAATAAGGTCTCTTCCATTTTATTAGTGCATGAAAATAACACTTAAAAGTGTAGAATCACTTTTTTGCAACTTGTCAACAGAACAACAAGAACAAACAACAGAACAAAAGAAGTCTGATCTATAAACTGCCCAGTGTCTAATTTAACGCAAAAGC